CAAATACTAAAATTGATAAGTCGTCTTGCAAAATTTTAAAATAATAATAATAATTGTAAACAATGACATCGATATAGTGTTGACCGAAGTCGATAGATATAGATGTTTAGGAAGCTCCTCAGGATGAACTATGGGTACAACTTGTACCCGTACCCGTACCGTACAAGAGCACTGTAATTTGAGTAAGTTACTCTTCAACCTCTATACTATGACAAAACATACGCTAAATTGTTTAAATTTAGTATAGTAATGCACATTTTAACAAAACTCTCATAATTCTTTCTACCAAGTTTGTAAGAGTGGGTGGCGGTGGAGGGATGTAGTATTACTCGTCGTACTACTCGGTCGGTCGGAAGTTGGTTTTGCAAACCTTTTGGAAATAAAATCTGTTGTGTTCTGTTGGATCCAAAACAACCCCCAACCCCTGTCCCATGGTCTGTGCACCCTCCCACAGAGCCCATTCTGGGGAAATGTAATTATAACTAAGACTGTCAAGTGGGAATAGAATTTGAATTGTTTAAAAAGTAGTTTTTGAAGAGAACGCACCGTTTATACTACGACTTTGTAATTTATTTAAATTATACTTTAGTATGTTTACTACGACAGCAAATACTGAAACCAATGAGTCTTCTAACAAAATCATAAGCAAAAAATTAATTTCCAATCAAAATACAACAATGTAGAAAGTTGAATAAATAAGATAGTGTCATGTTTAGAAAGCTCTGCAGGATGCACCGTTTGCACTACAAACTTCTAATTTACACAACTTATACTTCAGTATGTCTACTATGACGACAAATACTAAAATTGATAGTTTTTATACGAAAAAAGTAAGAAAACAATAATTCTTTTAAAAATATCCCGAGCAAAACAAATGTAATATGTATGAGAGTGTCATGTTTAGAAAGCTCTTCAGGACGCACCGTTTGTACTACTAACTTGTAGTTTTTACAAATTATACTTCAATATGTCCACTATGACGACAAATGCTAAAATTGATAACTTTCATACCAAAATTGCAAGAAAATGACAATTGTCTAGTAAAAATATTTTATAAAGCAAATATGATATATATGATAGTGTCGTTTTTTGAGAGCCTGCAGGACGCACCGTTTGCACTACAAACTTGTAATTTACACAAATTAGACTTCAGTATGTCTACTATGACGACGAATACTAAAATTGATCATTTTTATACCAAAATGTAAGAAAAAAAAATTCTTAAAATGAAAACAACGTTATAAAATACATTCTGATGACAAATCAATAAAAACAACGTAAATAGGACTCTACTGATAAGCAAACACGAATTAAAAATGTAAAAAGGACTCTACTGACGAGCAAACACGATTTAAAAGGACAAGGGGACTCTACTGATGAGCAAGCTCAGTTTGAAAACAAAGAGGGACTCTACTGACGACCAATAATTATTTTAAGAGAAAAAAAAGAACACCACTGATCAAAAAAATAAATTTAAATTTATAAATAATCTTGTGATGAAAAAGCAAACAATATAAAAAAAAATAATTTAAAAAAAATTATTTAAACACTGTCAATCCATTTAAGAAATATTTACAAAAAAGGGACACTACTGACACTTGTGGATAGCAAATAATAAAGTAATAATGGACATGATGAAAAACCACGACAGGAATGTTTAAAAAAAAAACATTATACACCAAAATAACATTTCATCCCCCTTCTGCTCCATCAATATCGATAAAAATGCCCATTAACCACCACTAATTACTAAAACTGGACGTCACAGAGAGAATTTTTGACGCCCAAATTAAAAGCGGCAATTTAAAATAACTGGCGTCGATTAAAAATACATTGTCTTGAGTTAAAATAAAAACATGAAACGAATTTTAAATCTATACGCGCCAGTAATAAACGTGTTGTAATTTGATTATTATATCGCTTGTAACTTTTGAACGGTTTGTTTAAATATAAAGGTATATTTGGGTAATTTGTTCAAAATTAATTGATTTATAATGTTGTCTAAGGTTTTGGAATCTTATAGCAAGTCGGTGTGCTATAAATTTGCGTTAAAACAAAAGTGGGTGATGTTGGCTATTGAAAATGATGTTTGTACGGAACCCTGTAGGTTTGCTGGATTTGTGTATATGGTATTTGATTTTAGCTCGTCGATACCTTTCATTTGATCCCGCACATGCCTATATTTGATTTTACAAAGTTTTGACCTACTGTTCAGCAACCTATTGGTCAACCTTATATTAAATTTATTGTAACTTTTAAACCGTTTGTCCGAGATGAATGGAATATTTGGTGAATTTGTGTTAAATTAAATTATGTATAATATTGTATGATATAGAAACATTGCAGCAAGTTCGAGCACTTCAAAATTGCACAAAAATAATATTAGAAATTGAATAAATGGTTTGTACGCAAACCTATTAGTACGCAAACTTATTACTTGTGACGTCACCATGATATTTAGATTCAGCTCGTCGAGAACTTTCATTTGATACCCCACATGCCTATATTTTATTTTACAAAGTTTTGACCCACTGTTCAGCAACCCATTGGTCAACTTTTTATTGCAAGTCTTGTAACTCTTGAACCGTTTGTCCGAAATTAATGGAACATTCGGTGAATTTGTGCAAAATTGAAATATGTATAATATGGTCTACCGTGGCGAACTCGACACCAACTTCGTATACTTTAAATTAACAAAAAAAAAATATCTTAGAAATCGATTACAAGCCTTGTATGCAACCCTATTGATTTACCGAGTCTTTTACTACAGGATTTGGATAGTTCACGTCGAAACCTTTCATTTGATACCCAACATGCCTATATTTGAAGTAAAACTTCTTAACTCATATTTGACCAGCTGTACTATATGTAGTATACAAGTAGCTTTAATATGTTACTAATTTTCGACAGCGTTTTTGTATCATAAATATTCAAGGTACGGAACTATGGCCAAAGATGAGTTTGTGCAGAATTTTATTGGCTACAAATCACCTTAAGACAATTTAGAGGTTACAACACTAGTTTAGCAGTTACGAGTCAAAATTTATAAACGTATACATACGATTATTGATTAAATATAAAAAATATGAATTTTTGGAAGAAAAAACGTGAAACCCTAGATAAGTACATTCTAATGAACATCTTTAACACGAGGCAGTGTTTATAATGTGACTGTTCAGAAGCAATTTTCAGATTTTGACCAAAAACTATAAAACATAGCTTTTTTTGTTGTTTTCGTTGTTCAAGGGGACGATCAAATTTTTTTCTCTGTATTTAAGTTTATTTGTCAGTAAAATCGCTTTGGGTATTTAAATTTATCATCTCTTATTTTAATTTGATCGTCAGTAGAGTCAGTAGAGTCCCTTTGAGATTGCTAGCCAGTAAAGGCCCTTTTTATCTTTTGTTTTAATTTGCTCGTCAGTAGAGTCCATTTTTATTTTTTGTCTCATTTTTAATTTGCTCGTCAGTAGAGTCCCTTTTTTATTTTTTGTCTTATTTTTAATTTGCTCATTAGTAGAGACCCTTTTTCGTTTATTTGTCTCATTTTCAATTTGCTCGTCGGTAGAGTCCCTTTTTTATTTAGCTTCTTTTATAATTTGCTTATCAGTAGAGTGCCTTTTTCATTTGTTTGTCTCATTTTCAATTTGCTCGTCAGTAGAGTCCCTTTTCTATGTTCAGCTTCAGTTTCAAGTTAAGATTAAAATTTTGCAAATCGGTGTGCTTTAAATTTGCGTTCAAAAAAAACATGATTGTGAATTATGACATGACAACAGTGATATTGAATTATGACATTTTGTGTTTGTACGGAACCCGGTACGTTTACTAAGTGTGTGCATATGGTATTTGAATTTAGCTCGTCGAGACCTTTCATTTGATACCCCACATGCCTATATTTAAAATGACAACATTTGCTCGTTAGTAGAGTCCCTTTTGCATAAACTAGCAATTTTGTCTCTTTGCTTCCCTTAGAGTTTCCTTATAGTCAATGTTTATCTCTTTTTTCAGTTTGCTTGTCAGTAGAGTCCTTTTCTTCTTTAAATTAACGTGTGGTCTTGTTTTAAATTATTTGCCAGTAGAGTCCCTTTTTATCTTTGGTTTCAATTTGCTCGTCAGTAGAGTCCTTTTTGTCTATTATTCCCTGCTAGGACTAATTTAGCAGAGTTTAGGAACTAAATCGCTCCACGGTGACTCTACTGACTGTCTGACTCATCACCGGTCATTAGTCATTAGTCATTAGTCATCATTAGCGTGTGTTTTCAAGTGCTTCCCTCTATCGAGTCGAGTCTCAAGTGGATCGAAATGAACGCATCGAGATTGCCGCTTTTAATAATAGGCCCATATTGTGTATCCATCGTGAGGAATGTGGGGGCAGGGTATAGAGGGACGGGACTATATTGATCAAGTCCAGCACTGACGAGTGTCTAGGTTGAGGAAAAGGGACTGTACTGACAAGCAAATTGAAAAAGAGGCAAACAAATAAAAAAGGGACTCTACTGACGTGCAAATTATAAAAAAAACTAACGAAGATCAAATTATAATATAAACTTAATAATATAATAAGGTTTAAATATAATTTTCAAACACCGAGCAGCGTCGTTCATCTACATTATATAAATGTTAAAAATATGTATATCTAAAAATTACATTTTGTTGTTCATACACAAACTTTTTTGAAAAAGTAGTCAGAATATTTATAAAAGAGAAATACCTGAACAAAACTTTACTCCTAACAATATATATTAATTTCATATATAATTCCATAAATTAACTTACATTTACACAAAACGCAATCAAACCCAATCAAACTGCAAAAGTCTTATTATTAATTAAATGCTCCAACATAATTGTTATTTCAATATCTAGATTTTCCATGAATAGCACATCACATTCATTAATCAATCACACTCTCAACCAAATGCAATCAAATTCATTTACAAGTACTAGGTAATCAAATCTAGGTAAGCGTAAGTGTATTAAAGGATAATCAACTATGATTTTCATTATATAATATTTAGAGATACTGAGGCTTCGGGGCTCTGATATGGAGAGTTTGGATTAGACGCTGGTGGAGTTCCCGAAGGCGTTTGCAATGACGCAGTTTCGTTGGCAATAACTCGCTCGATGTGACAAACCATTAATTCGGCGAGAGTTATGTCGGCACGAGAAACGGCGCAAAGATCCGCAAGGGCGCATTGCGATGATGGAAGGTTCAGGCCTCGAACGGCGGCGCAAACGCAAGCGGTGGCAAGGAGCGAAGGAGCGGTCTGCATAAATTCAGGTTCAGTACAGCAGACAGACACCAAGGTGTGAGCATGACGTTTGGTAAGGCGGCTTTCATGTCCCCATGGCATTCGCTCGATTAGGTGATCAACAAAGTCGAAGCCAGTAATCGTATTCGAGTTCCAGTTCAGCTTGGTTAGAATTAACATTTCCATGGTCCTAATTTCTTCAGGGGCGACACTATGATCAGTATAAGCGCAAAGCAGATGGATGGTCAAATTGTGGCATTGACGAATCTTGGTGGAAACCAGTAAAGCTGTTGCACCCACAAGTTGAAGTTGTTGACGAGGAATCTCGCATACGCACAAAAAACGATCCATGAAATTAACAGCTAGAGGAAACACTTGTTCTTCGCAGTGTTGCTCTTCACACACCTCCAACATCCATGTGGTGACAACTTTCCTCATGAAAGGCAGCAGATCCCCCTGGAAATTGGCAAAGTAATTCATGCGGGGGATGGTGCTGCCTTCCAACATCAGCATGTTATCCATGACTCTGGCGTCTTTTGTCAAATTCTCGTCAACTTCAGCAAAATTGCAATCCACCCGTTCGCCAAATGGGGCTTCGGGGCACAAAAGATTGACATTCATATTTATGTAGTTAAATTAAAATTACGGAACGAAAAAAAATATGTAATCCACCCCAACACGCCACACCGAGACGGTGGAGTTTTTCTGTGATTTTCACCAAATGGAAAATCCTTAACAGCACCAAACACAGACACACACGTTGTTTATAACAAATTGTTTTTATAAATATTATTATATATATAAAATAACTTGAAATTAATTTAATTAGTTGCAAGCACACATGAAGTATTAATGATAAAGGCACACAAAAATCAGTTCAATGTTGGTTTTTTTCAAGAATATCATTGATCAGTAACAACCGCACTCATTGCCGACTGACGTCTGAGTGATATCTTCGGAAGCACGGTGCCCAGTTGCCGCGAGTTGTGTTGTGTTGATTTAAGCTCATACTGCCAAATCGATTTTAAAAAATCAAACACTGTTCGAAAGATATTAGTTGGGAATGATACTGATTAGTTTTAGGTAAAGATCGACCGGGCCGTTTTCTTGTAATAAAGTTCTAAAAAAAAAAAAATTCGACGATTTTTATAATTTTTTTTTGACGGTAGATACCACAGTCTTATAGGTCATACTAAAATATTACGGTCCTACGACAAGTCGTTTAATTTTAAAAAATCTTCAAAGTTTGCAAAAATTAGTATCGTTTTTTTGGCATTTGTCAAAATTAAACCTTTGATCGACGTTTTCTTAAAAACGCCTGAACCGATTTCAGAAATTTAAAAGCGATTTGATGTATCTCAATGAGGACTATCGTTTGTCAGTTTTGTGAGACGATCTGCCAAACCGTTCCTTTGTAATTTAAAAAAAAATGTTAAACTTTTCGTCCACATTCAAGCTAAAACTACCTAACCGATTTTAAAAAATCAAAAACTGTTCGAAAGATATTAGTTGGGAATGATACTGATTAATTTTAGGTGAAAATCTACCGAGCCGTTTTCTTGTAATGAACTGTTGAAAAAAAATTTAAGCCGATTTTCATGGAACTTTTTTTGGCGATATACATCATGGTCTTATAGAACTTACTGTAATATTACGGCCTTACAAGTAGTTTAATTTTAAAAATTCGTCAAACTTTCCTAAAAATATTATCGTTTTTTTTAAAGTAGGATTGATGTAGTATACTATTTACACATTTTTTTTATTAAGTCGATTATTTACACATATCGTCAAGTTCATGTAACTTGCCTCAAGGCTAAATACCAAACCAACTAGTTTTGTTTGAAGTTACCGTGAACTTGAAAAGTAAATTAGTGTTCAATTTCATAAGCGCAAACCTGCGAGTGATTAAATTAATTATTGGGCATTATTGACGAAAAATAGCAAGCTGATTTAGTTTAAACAAAATATAATCGGAAAAATGAAAAATGGGGAGTCAGTGCTTAGAAAAGGGCAAGTTTATTCCGAAAAATTGAATTGTAACCTTTGTTTTTGTTGCAAATGTTTTGCATCTGATGAACTTTGAATGTTGAAGACATAGTTAGGGTTATGGATATGGAACAAATATGAAAAATGGGAGCAAAATTTACTTTGGAACGAAAATCTTAAGATTTTTGTTATACCTAGTGGTGTCCATACTCTAAATTTAATAATAGTTAACTATGCAGAAATATTACAAATCACATATAATTAGTTTTTTCCAATATAGTTCAGGAAATGTGTAATTTCTGGTCACTTTTTACTGATTTTTGGACAATACTTCTAAAATACGTTGAAAATTTAACTTTAAAACCTGATACCCTGAATATGACGCGAAAGCAAGGATAAATACAATACGGCTCTTACGATATCAATCAGGAGAAGTTTACGACGCAATTTTGGATATTGTAAATAATGAAATTAAATTAAATTAAAATTTGAAAAATTCAACATGAAATATGAGTATTTTGATTGAAATTGAAAAGCTAGTTTTTTTTAGCTCTCTTGGCATGAGTTGCTCAATAGAAAAAATTGCATAATAAATAAGTAAAATGTTTCAAAACCCAAATATTAATATAACACATACGTTAAAAATAATTGGAAATTAAAAAATATTTGATTATAATCAACCCGCGAATTTCCTCGATTTTTAATAAATAAATTTAAAATCTATGTATTTTATACGCTTTTAGATTATATTTAATTTTTTATGTACTAAATCTAGAATAATTAAAAATATTTTTTTAAAAAATATGTAAATAATTATATAATTTACATGACAAACTATTAAAACAGTTAAAATATAAAGGGGGTGGGGGGCGCTAGAAAAAAAGTTGCATGCGGGCGCTAAGGACCCCAGGACCGGCCCTGTACATATATATACATATATATATATATATATATATATATATATATATACCGCTGAAAAATTCGAGAAAAAAAAGACATATAATTTACATTTATACCCTGCATCCCCTAGATTCAAGAAACCTCTGATATTTAGTTCTGTTTCTATTATTATTTGTGTTAAACTTTTTATCGTAAATAAAAGCGATACGATAAAATGATAAAGACATCAATACAAGAAGTATATTCTTTCATTCAATAAATATTTATACAAACTAAACAAAGAATACAATAAGCGTCTATAAGAAAGTACTTGATATCAGAAAACTGATATCGCTGCTGATTGATATCAAGATTGAATGGAACCTTTGTTGAAACACGGCCAAAACTTTTATCACAAAACCACTAACAAGCACCATATATTAAAAATCAGTTGGAAAAATATTATATAAAAATCTCAGTCTCATTATAATTATGTAATTGTTTATTTTAAAAACACTTGACAGTTGACAGTTGATGTAAATAATTAGCTGTCAAATTTTCTACATTAAGTCACATATTTATACGTGTCAACACTTTTGTGCAACTTGCCTTCAGGCAAAATGACACTTACAACTAGTTTATTTATTTAAACACCAGTTATTATCTATATGTATACAATAACATTGTTATTTTACGTTTTTAGTTAAATAAAAATCATTTTTACAATTCGATTATTAAAATGGCGGAAAATTGTAATATTTTTTGACGTTGAGTGTACACACAATATTTGCGTACGAGGCGCCAAATTTAAAACTACAAAGTTAAAAACTTAATTTACACTTCAAAACGTATAATAAAGACCAACAAACAATCTTTAAATCAATAAAATAAAAACAAAATACATTTGCAATCATCAAATGTATAATATTAAGCGTATTAACTTTATTTCAGACTTAAATTGTTCATAAATTTAATGTAATTTTTTATTATGTCGGACATTGGAAATTTAAGGCAAAATGACACTTACACTTACTTTATTTAATTAATCAAGAGTTATTATCTATCTTTATACACTAACATTGTTATTTTAAGTTTTTAGTGAAATAAAAATAATTTTTGCAATACGATTATTAAAATGGCGGAAAATATTAATAATTTTTGACGTTGAGTGTACATCAATATTTGCGTAAGAGGCGCCAAATTTAAAATTACAAAGTTAAAAACTGAATTTACACTCCAAAACAATGCATTACTAATATATAATTGAATATTATATAAACAAAATGTATTTTTACACATTAAATAATTATTACTAAACGTATTAACTTTATTTTAGACTGTTGACAAATTTTATGTAAATACCTAAATAGCTCGCCAAAACTTTTGTTTAAGTGTTATGCGATAAAAAGCCTACGATGACTATATATTTGGATATGTTTAGTTTAGATATGATAATAACAGTTGAATTATCTATTGTATATATAAGAAAATGAACTTTAACGACTTTTGGTATGATTAATGAACTCTTAAAAACGCATGTCTAAATATCCATCAAGGAACATGTTATTGTTATAAGATTGTCTTATTTATAATGAGAATCAATCAATGATTACTGTCGAGGGTTTTATCTCTAATTAGATAAGGATTTATATATTCTGATTTTAACTTCCGTAGCTATCACACGTACTTTTGTTATAATTATATTTTGTTAAATTTGCTTTTGTTTCGCAGAAATTGGTAAGTATGAATCCGAATTATTTCAATTTATCCATAAAATTTATGTGCCATTATATAATTTTTTTTATTATCAAGAAATCATAATTTTGAGAAGATTGATTTAGATTGTTCAGACTGCAGTTCTACATCAACGATTATTAGGTTGGAATCTGAAAGAGAGTTAGACTTTGATGATGAAATTGAATTTGATGGTTGGACTGAAATTGATATAAGTACAAATACTCCACAGCCACAAACTCCTTTTGAATTCATGGGAAATTCTTCCATAAATGAAGATGTTGCATTGCTAACAACACCTCTGCAATTTTTTGATTATTTTTTTGACGACGAATTGGTTGAAAAAATTGTTGAAGAAACAAATGTATATTTTATACAAGAACAGAGAACGGAGCCTTCAACGTCTGGTGCTGTAATGGATTGGAATGTCACAGCAGCAGAAATGCGAATATTTTTTGCAATAGTGTTAAATATGAGTATCGTATACAAGCCAGATGAAAATATGTATTGGTCGAAAAACCCTATTATTGCCACTCCATTTTTTTCCAAAGTAATGTCCAATAGGCGGTTCAAATTGATCAAAAAGTATTTACATTTTATGAATAATGAAACCTATAATTATGATTTACATCCTTATCCGAAACTGAATAAAATTTGGCCTGTATATGATTTTCTGAATAAAAAATTTAAAACTGCTTATACCCTTCAAAGGAAAATTACAATTGACGAAAGCCTAATGTTGTATAAAGGAGCACTAAGCTGGAAACAATATATGCCCATGAAACGTGCAAGATTTGGCATCAAAAGTTACTTCTTGTGCGTATCGAAAACTGGGTATTGGCTATGTGCGAAGGCATGGAAGGGGAAGTCAAATCGACCGAAGCGTTCGTTGTGGCTACTTTGAGCATTAAAGTAAGCTACTATAACAGAAATTTTAAACAAAAACACATAACATATTGGTTTATTTCAAATTTAAATAAGATAATTAAAAATAAGCCACCAAAGCTGTTGTATAGTGGGTT